GTCTGGGGCCCACGTCCCCACGTCCTCCCCTCCACAGGCCCGCGACCTGACCAGGAGGGTGGAGGTGCAGAAGCCTCTGTTCGTGGAACCCAGGAGTAAGGGCAGCTTCTCAGAGGTCAGCCTGCAGGCCCACCCACTGCCCTCACCTCCTCCAGAGCCTGCTGGCCCTGACCAGGGGCTCTGGGTGGCTCCTGGCTGCCTCTCTTGGATCTGTGACCCTTGCCTGCGCTTAGGTGGGCTGGTGGGTAGCCACACCGCAATCCCTTCACCAGTGTTCAGTGTTAAGCTACCAGCTCCGAGACTCAAACCACAGTCGACTACATGGGAGTCCCGCAACATAGCCATTACGCCAACTGCTAGTCCCTGGCCCTCAGCTCCGACGGTCCAGCTGCCCTACGCCGGGCCGCGCCAAGCAGGCTGTGCTATGGCGGGTCAGCCAGGAGCCTGCTGGCCACACCCTCCCCTGAAGATGGGCAAAGGGGCCGGCACCGGGCATGGCTGAGCGGTCCCTCATTCCAGGTCCTCGACGCTTACTACAAGAGGGTTGCAGCCCCAGGGTCCAGTGGGGCCACCTTCCTGGCCGTGTGCAGGGGCAAGGTGAGGCCTTCACTTGTCCAGCAGCCTGCTCCTCACTGCAGCTCCGGGCTCCGCCACAGGCGGGACGGGGCAGGCCCTTTCCCCAGCCCCCATAACCATGAGCGGAGCAGGAGGTGCTGGCCCTGGCCGGGGGGCACTGGGGCCATGCACAGGCAAGGAGGTGGCCTGTGAGGTGGTCACCGGGTCCTGATGGCTCTGGGTGGAGGCCCTTCCCCCTGGAGTGGGCTCGAGGGCTGGGAATGGAGGCAGCTGGCAAGGTCCCTGGCACAGACAAAGGCCAGTGTGGGGGGGGTGACTCTGCCCCAGAAATTCTCTGGTCTGTCCCCTAGGCCAGTGAGGGGCTGGACTTTTCAGACATGAATGGGCGTGGTGTCATCGTCACGGGCCTCCCATACCCTCCTCGCATGGACCCCCGGGTTGTCCTCAAGATGCAGTTCCTAGATGAGATGAAAGCCCGCAGTGGGGCTGGCGGCCGGGTGAGCGTGCGGGGGTGCGGGGGTGCGGGGTGCGGGGAGCCCCTGGGGCTGAGTGCTCACCCCCCTCGCGTCAGTGCCTTTCAGGGCAGGACTGGTACCGGATGCAAGCGTCCCGGGCTGTGAACCAGGCCGTTGGGCGGGTGATCCGGCACCGCCATGACTACGGGGCCATCTTCCTGTGTGACCACAGGTACGTGCACAGTGTCCATGGGTTATCCCTGCTGGGCCAAGTCCTTTTCTGGACCCTCAGGCCCTGGAGAGTACGCCTAGGGTCCCTCCCCAGCCCCTGGACTGATGGCCACGCTGCCCCCCAACCCAGGTTTGCCCACGCTGACGCCAGGGCCCAGCTGCCTTCTTGGGTACGTCCCTATGTCAAGGTGTACGACAGCTTTGGCCACGTCATCCGAGATGTGGCCCAGTTCTTCCGCCTCGCTCAGAAAACCGTGAGCTCCTGAACACCTGGCTGACTGCCGGGGCCTGGGGGTGGCCAGCCCCAGAGCCGTGGCGATAGCTGAGCTGCCCCTGCCTGTGCAGGTGCCAGCACCCCCACCCCGGGCTGTAGCCACGAGTCTGCGGGAGGAGGAGAGTGCCGTCCAGGCAGCCACGGCCTCCACCTTCCTTCCTCCAAGGAAGGCCAGAAGCCTGGACGTGCATGTCCCCAGCCTGAGACGGAAGGCCACAGGTGCGTGGGGCAGGGCAAGACCCAGAGGGTGGTGGCCGTGGTCTGCCTGACCTGACCAGTTGCCTCTTGCAGGCTGGGATCCCCCCTTGGGCTGGGAAACCCCCCTTAGGCTGTGGAACCCCCCAGAGCTAGGACTCCCCTCCTCAGACCTGGGACACCCCCCTCCTCAGGGTGGGATCCCCCAGCTGGGACCTCCCTCAGACTGGGTTCCCTCTTGGACTGAAGCCCCGGTGACCTCGTTCCCAAACTGCGCCTGCAGAACCGCCATCCCCCCGGGATGCTGAGGCCAGCCTGTGTGTGGAGTACGAACAGGAGTCTGGCCAGGCCCTGCGGAGACCCCTGGGGCTGCTGGCCGCCCTGGAGCAAAGTGAGCAGCGGGCCAGGGGCCCTGGGGACGAGACCCATGAGGATGAGGTGCGGTGCTGGGCGCGGCTGGGTACCGGCCTACTCCTACTCAGCCTGCGAGTCGCTCTGGGTGGCAGACGGGCTCTGAGGCCTTGGCCCATAGCCCACCATTTCCGTCCGTTCTGGACCTGCCCCTGCTTCCTCCTGTCCCGTTCAAGGCCTTAGTGAGCCCCAGGGCTGGCCACAGGCCTCTTTTCCTCCAGCCCCACAACTGTCACTGAGCCTGACTTTGCTTGTCCCTGAGCCACAAGGCCAGCAGCATGACCACAAGAGGTTTGGCAGGACCCCAGGCTTCTGTCCAGGCTGCGGTCAAGGCTCCTGGGGCCCCTTAGGCTGTGGGTCAGACATGGCTGTCTCCCTCAGGCTTGCAGTCACCCTGGCCCGTCCCCCTGTGCTAAGAGGCTGGCAGGTGAGCAGAGGGAATGGAGGAAGAGGGTCAGGCTGACCAGCCACCCGGTACGTAAGCTGCCTGTAATGCCAAGCAGGCTGAGGGCCAGAGGCTCAGATTTGCAGGCGTCTGGCTCCAGCCTGGCCTGTTCGGTTTGGGGTCTGCAACTGGCCATGGCCCCAGCTGTGGTGGGCAGCATTGGGTGGGCCTTGCCTTCCTGCAGGAACAGGTGCTGACCTGCCTGGTACCTGGGAGGGAGTGGAAGCTCGCAGCATGGTGCCCTGGTCTGTGTCCTGGGCCACCTCAGCACATGGGCCATGCCATCAGGACACCCTGCCTGGTCTCCATGGTCCTAGGAGCCATAGCGCCCAGGCAATGGAGGTGCCTGAGGGAGGAGCCCGCACGGGGCTGTGCGGCACTGGGCCCTGACCGCACACCTGCATGCAGGAACCAGTGGCTGACACGCAGGAGAGCAGGGCCAGGCTGTTCATGGTGGCCGTGAGGCAGGCGCTGAGCCAGGCCAGCTTCCACGCGTTCACCCGGGCCCTGCAGGACTACAAGCGCTCTGACGACTTTGCCGCCCTGGTGGCCAGCCTCCACCCCCTCTTTGCTGAAGACCCCAGGAAGCACAGCCTGCTCCAAGGTGCTGTGGGGTGGGGACCCCAGGAGGGCACCGTTCCATCCCAGAGCCCTGCGCCAGGCTGCCATGCATGGTGCTCTGGGCCAACGCCCCCTCCCTGACAGGCTTCCACCAGTTCGTGCGACCCCACCACAAGCAGCGGTTTGAGGAGCTCTGTGTGCGGCTGACCGGGCGGGGCTGCCGGCCTGAGCGCAGCCTTCCCCCAGGGCAGCAGCAGCAGCCCGCCCCGGGCCCCTCTGGTGAGCGGCGAGCTGACGGGCAGGAGGCCGGGTCCTGGGGTGGGCAGACGTGGGTAGAGCACCATGGAGAGCCCCGCCCGCCCTGGGAGCCAAGTGCTCACTGCAGGGCCTGGCCCGCAGTAGGGGCCACCCAGGGGGAGCCCTGGCTCGTCGGGAAGACCCCGTCCTGTACCTGTCCCCCAGCTCCAAACTGGGCAGCCTTTCCCTGCTGTCCCCACTCCACCCCCGAGCAGGATGGCTGTCCCAGGGGACCGGCAGGGTTGGTGTTGCTGTGACTCAGTCCCTGGGTGCCTGTGATACCGGAAGATGGGGTCCCCTGCCTCCCCAAGCCAGGCCTGCCATTGGCTCTGGGGAACCAGCGGGCAGTAGGTGTTTGCCCGTTTCTAGGACAGACAGAACCTGATCCCCAGCTGACCCTGTGTGAGGGCACGGCTAGGCAGCTGGACCTGCAAGAGCACCTGAACCACGGGGGAGCCCACCTGTCAACTGGGCCGCCCTTCGCAGGTACCTGGCTCCTGCACTGGGAGAGGCTTGGACCTTGAGGGACTTGTCTTTCAGTCGGGCCGAAAGGCTGTGGGCCAGAGCCACCAGCCAACTAGGGACCTTGGGGAGGGGTCTCCTGGCGGGCTGCCCTGCGCAGCGAGAAGGGCCCTGGGGTGGGTGGGACTTCCTGGGCCCCTGAACTCCAACACCACCCCAGGCCATGCTGCCCCACAGGAGGCCCCCACAACTGCCCACAAGTGGGGTCCAGAGCCCCCCGAGCAGAGAAGCACCGCCAGCCTGCTGTGAAGGCCTACCTGGCTGACGCCCGCAGGGCCCTGGGCTCCACTGGCTGTAGCCAGCTCTGGGCGGCCCTGACAGCCTACAAGCAGGATGGCGACCTGGACAAGGTGCTGGCCACGCTGGCTGCACTGACCACCGCGAGACCTGAGGACTTTCCCCTGCTGCTGAGCAAGTGGCCCTGGGCCGGGCGGGCCTGGCGGGCGGCTGTGGGTTGGCCTGGCCAGCGGGCGGGGCCTGAATGGAGCTGCCCACAGGGTTCGGCATGTTCGTGCGGCCGCAGCACAGACTGCGCTTCCAGCAGGTGTGCGCAGACCTCACAGGCACGCCTACTCCGGGCTCGGCTGGGGAGCCGGGGCCACCCCAGGAAGAGGGGCCCCCCATACCCCCCGAACTTGCTCAGGGGACATCCGAGCCGGGTAGGACCCTCCCTCACTTGCCTGTTGCCGAGCTCCATGAACCCTGCAGGGCCTCTGCAGAGGGCAGGTGCTTCATGGAGGCGCTCTCCCTGCCCTAGGCCCCTCACAGGTGGAGAGGCCCCAGAAGACCCAGAGCAAGATCTCGACCTTCCTCAGACAGAAGCCAGCTGGTCCCGTGGGGGCTGACGGTGCCACCCAGGGACCCAGCCAGCTCCCTGAGCCTCCCCACGGGCCCATGCCGTCTGAGCAGGGTGAGTCTGGTGGGACGGCCTCCGGGCTCGGCTGGGGAGCCGCCGCCACCCCAGGAAGAGGGGCCCCCCATACCCCCCGAACTTGCTCAGGGGACATCCGAGCCGGGTAGGACCCTCCCTCACTTGCCTGTTGCCGAGCTCCATGAACCCTGCAGGGCCTCTGCAGAGGGCAGGTGCTTCATGGAGGCGCTCTCCCTGCCCTAGGCCCCTCACAGGTGGAGAGGCCCCAGAAGACCCAGAGCAAGATCTCGACCTTCCTCAGACAGAAGCCAGCTGGTCCCGTGGGGGCTGACGGTGCCACCCAGGGACCCAGCCAGCTCCCTGAGCCTCCCCACGGGCCCATGCCGTCTGAGCAGGGTGAGTCTGGTGGGACGGCCTGCAGGGACTGCTGGGAGCTGGGCGTGGGGCCTCAGGCTCAGGTTGCCCCTTGAAGCAGGCTTTGTATGCCGGGGCTGCGGGGAGGACACGGTGCTCTTCCAGTGCCACTCCTGCGACTTCCACAGCTGCAGGACCTGCTGGCGAGGACACCTCCAGGTCGGCCCAGCCCTGCAGTCCAGGGGGTGGGGCTGCCTGGCCCGTGGTGAAGCAGGAGAGCATGGTCAGCAGCCTGCTGTCCCTGCAGGTCTCTAGGACATGCCCCCGCTGCCATGTTGCCACCAGAAAGCAGAGCGTCACACAGGTCTTCTGGCCAGAGCCCCTGTGAGCACCGCTGGGTCTGCAGAGGCTGCAGGCTACAGACCCCTTAGAGCCCAGCGTGGGCTGCCTGGAAGTGCACCTTCCCCAGACACTCTCGCCTTCCTGGAGTCAGGTGGCAGGCGAAATAAAGCATGTCAGACCGTGTCTATGTGGCCTGGTCAGAGGGGCTGGACAGGGCATCCTCGCCAGACTCTCCTCACCCTGCCCTCCTCTGCCAGCTGCTTCGTCCACATGGGCTCAGCTGGCCTCTGTCCCGCGACGGATTGGGAGCCATCCTGAGGCTGGGATGTTCCCAGGCCCCTCAATCACCTCTAGACTGACAGGCTGGGAGGCCATGCAGCCCTGGGGATCGTGGGGGGCAGGCAATGGGTTCCCACACGGGCGGGTGGCCTGTGCCTCGCCCTCTCCCGGGCCATAGAGGGCAGCAGGTAGGTGGGACCCTGCGCTCGGGCAGCTGGGGCTGCATGTTGGCATGGGCTGCGCTGTGGGGACCATGCTGAGAGGGTGGGGCCCGCCGCTGCTGGCCCCACCATGGGCACGGGGC